ATCGCCAGATATACCCAGGACAGCTCATGACCGATACACCATTCACCCCTGCGCTCTCGAAAGCATCCTACAAGGTCTTTTATGTCTAGGAAGCCCGGAAGACACGACAGTCAATGGCTCGATGGTTGCCAATCGTTTGGGGCATGTTTGGATTACAAACCCTCTCAGCGACGAGACAGCTACCAGCCGCCAGTTTAAAACCTTTGCCGAGACGGAGAGGAAAACATCAACCATTTATACATCAGACGTCGCGATATATGCTCAAGGATCGTTGGAGCCAAATTTCCTCATCAAGGGACTCGATCTGGTTCTTCTGCCACCCCAGGAAGACGGACAGGCTGCCGACGAGTCTTTCTACGTTGAAACATGGAAGCCAGACGCAAAAATGCTGACATCTTTTGAAAAAGTCTGCAGCTCTCAGGAGTTGTCTGGCAGCTTAATCAGGGCATTTACAAGAGAGGACCACCAAGGCCTTCAACTCACATGTTCGGTATTCGTGCTAGACTCGCTACAGAAAATTTCCGGATTGAACGAAGACGACCTGCCCTTGCATCTGCGGTCATTCGTTGACTGGATAAAGGCGCAAGCCGAAATTATTACGCAAGGCAGAGCTCCTTTTGTCGACCTCACGGCATTGGAGCAGGTTCGTGTCAAAGATGAGCTCAAACAGGCCTTGTTCGATAGTGTAGCCAGACGAAGTGCCCGGGGAGAGCTTCTTATTCGAGTTGGCGTCAATCTTGTACCTATTCTGACCCAACAAGTCGACAGCTTGGAACTCATGTTTGGGAGCGACGATATCATGAGTCGAACATACAACGAAGGCCTACCCGGAGACGTTGCAGTCCGCATTTCGCATTACCTGGAGTAGTTGTCACACAACCAGTCTCGCATAAAGATTCTCGAAGTCGGCGCGGGTACGGGCAGCGCAACCAAGATTGTACTCGATGCGTTTAGGAATTCCGGTGGACAGGATGCCGAAAGCGGCATTTTGCCTATTGATACGTACGACTTCACCGACATGTCTGGCGCATTCTTTGAACGCGCCAAGTCTCGTTTTGCCGACTGGTCCGACGTTCTGCGCTACCAGACGTTTGACGTCGAAAAGGATCCAGCACTTCAGGGATTCGAACTCGCATCTTATGACCTTGTTATTGCGACTCATGTAAGTGATTCTGGTCCCTCTACGTGGAAGCAGTGCTGATACAAACTGTCAGGTCCTACATGCTACAGCCAATCTTCAAGTGAGCTTGAAGAACATAAAAAGTCTCTTAAAGAGGTAATGCCTAGTCTCTCAAAACAAACTGGTCTGGTGCCTAACAGTCTTCTTAGTGGAGGAGACCTCATCGTCATCGAAAATGTCAAGCCTCAGTTGATGTGCACGCCGCTGGCGTTTGGCATACTACCAGGGTGGTGGCGCGGCATCGAGTCTTATCGTCAATCAAACCCTCTTATAGACCAAAAGCAATGGGATGCTGAGCTGGAGCAAGCTGGCTTCAAGCTGAGGATGCAAATACAGGACACAGACGAGGCCGCTAACCAGGAGACATCAGCAACTATTGCATCTACACAGCAGCTTCTTGACGAAACATGTCAACATGGCTACAAATGCGCAATCATCTACCATGCCGACTATGTCTCGCAACTGCAGCTCGCTAGAGAGTGTGCCTCAACACTAACCAAGGTTCTTGAATGCGATTGCTCCTTGGTAAGCCTACGTGAGGCTGATGCCGGTGAACTTGACGCAGACTTTTGTGTATCTCTGTTGAACTTGCAGGGATTTGATCTTTCGGATATAACGGATCCCGACTTCCAACAGATCAAGTTGGTCCTGGAAACCTGCATCAATATGATATGGGTCTCGGGCAATCCGGACGACGACTCCAAGGCGGCAATGTGCCGTGGTCTCGTCCGAAGTGCCAGATGGGAGCGCGATCAGGATGCAGTCAACTTCATCACGCTTGGGATATGCAATCCATTGCCTCCCAACTCTGTCATCTCAGAACAAGTTGCCCGTGTGGCTCGTGGAGCCTTCATCTCTCAGGGCGTGATAGCTGCCAACGGTGAATACGCCACAAAGGACGGAGTACTCTTGACAAACAGGCTTCTACCTGCCAAGAAGATTAACACGGCTGTGAATAGGAGATCGGACCCGAAAACTGAGCCTATTCAGCTTGGAGCCATATCCCAAGGGATCAAGCTCACTTCAATTGACCCTCATAAACCGCAAGCATTCCATTTCATTCGTGATGAACTGGCAGAGAGCCCCCTGGGCCATGATGAAGTTCAACTGAAGGTACATGCCGCTGGCGTACGACGAGAAGACATCGATGAGGCTAGCCGTTTGATACCCGGGCAAGGCATAGGCCGAGATTGTGTTGGTCTTGTGACTGAAATTGGGTCATCCGTAACAGACGTTGTTGTTGGCGACCGAGTCATGGCCGTGAGGACTATTCCATCGAGCGGCGCTCTATCAAGTCTCTTCCGAACCCATTGCAGCGCAGTCCAAAAGATCCCAGACGGGGTGGGATATCTCGAGGCTGCAACAATTCCCTGGAACTTCTGCACTGCCCATTACTGCATCGTCAAAGTGGCTCGTGTGCAACCGGGCGAAACCATCATGATCCAGTGCGCAGACAACGCTATCGGGCAAGCGGCTATTCAACTCGCCAAGTCGATCGGCGCCAACTTGCTATGCACTGTCTCTTCAAACGAGGACAATCTCGTTCTGGCTTCTCGATATAACCTCGACCAGGCAGCTGTCTTGTCGAATGACAAAGTACCATTAGGCGTGGAGGCTATTCTTTCCTCAATGTGCAAAGGAGGAATTAATGTGTATCTGAACTGTGATCCAATGGGAATCTCTGACGCGTACCAATCCCAAGTTACACCCTTTGGTCGCGTCGTTGATCTCCATGGCGCAGCTACCGCTAATCATCTCTCCTTGAAAGATCTTTCCAAGGCAAGCATTTCTTATATATCCGTCGCCATGGATCCAGTAGCCCAGTCCCGGCCCGAACTCATCCAAGAGGCACTTTTAGACACGTCGCGTCGGCTCTCTTGCTCTCAGTTCAAACCCTTGAGTCATGTTGAGGTATTAGGATACTCGGAACTTCCAAAAGCTATCCTCCGGTGTCGCGATAGACAGTCAAAGAACCCCTCCATGTTTGTTGTCCAGCCTAAAGATGATGAAGTGGTCCCCGTAAGTGTTTCTCATACTTGTTGCAACGCATGAAAGGGTCCTAACAGCTACACAGATGCGTCTTGAACCAATCGGTGATTATCTTCTGAGAGGAGACGCATCCTACCTTCTTGTTGGGGGGTTCGGGGGCATTGGAAGAAGACTAGCGCTTTGGATGCACTCGCGCGGAGCGAGGAACTTCATCTTCCTATCAAGATCGGGACCGACGGATCCCAGGGCCCGAGAACTCTGTGAAACGCTAAAGTCTTCTGGTTGCCGGGTGGAAAGTATCGTAAGCGATGCAGCAGACACGGAATCGGTGAACAAGTCCATGCAAAGGTGTCGCGACATAATGCCTCCCATCAAGGGCTGCGTGCAATGTTCCATGGTGCTGGTCGTATGTTATCCTACCACCCGCTTGGGTTATTGTGTTGGATTTTTTTCTGACAAAATGTAGGATTCTATGATTTGCAACATGTCACACAGCCAATTCATGGCCGCTATTCGACCTAAGGTACAAGGAACAATTAACATTACTAATAACCTCCCTGAAAAACTGGACTTCTTTATCTTACTATCATCCTCGTCCGCTATTATCGGCAACCGTGGGCAAGCTAACTACGCGGCCGCAAACGTATTCCTAGACACGTTCGCAAGACATCTCACGGCCCAAGGACGGCCAACAACATCTATTAGTCTTGGAAGCGTTCTGTCGTTTGGCTGGGTTGCTGAAAACCAAGACCGACTCCCTATTGCTCTTGCATACGGAACCATCACAGAAGACCGTCTCCTGTCCATCCTAGAGTACCACATGGATCCGCGACTGGGCGCCGCCGAGAACAGTGACAACTGTCACACAATTGCTGGCCTCCGTTCCGCGAGCGACTTTCAGCGCCACTCAGTCCCGCTGCCAGCTTTCATGTCGCACCCGTTGTTTACGCACTTGCGCGCCTCGGGACGGCAAGGCAGAGCCAAGGAGGCAGAGGCGACTATATCCATTGCACAAGGACTCGCCGGTGCAGCGTCCACGGAAGAGGCAGTTGATTTCGTCTCCGACGCCATCATTGCCAAGATATCCAGGATTATGGCCATTTCTCCCAAGGATATGGAAACGTACCGAACCTTGAGCTCGTATGGCGTTGACTCTCTGGTTACTGTTGATATGAAGTCGTGGTTCAAGAGGGAACTTGGCGCTACAGTTGGCACAAAGGACATCCTGGGCGAGCTTACGATTTATGGCTTGGCAGGAAAGGTTGTTACAGGAAGTAGTTTAAGGAAAGAATCTGTTATATAGCTATGAGAATTATAATAAAATACATGGGTTATAGCGATCCGAATTAGTCGCTGCCTGTTTTACCATCTTTTTTTTTTTATTTTTTTATAAAAAGTTTTATTAAGATTACAGGTTAATATCGGCGAAAAAAAGGTAATTAATAATATTAATTTTTGGTTATTTCGCCTTATAATCAAATAAAATTACACGTATAATACAAGTATCGTGTAAGCGTAAAATCTAAAATAGTATTAAGCTGTATCAGGCCAAGATCAGTAAGAGACTAGAAACGTAGACCGTTTACGCATCCTAACTAATTTATTTAATTTATTATTAAATACTTAAGCTTTTTAAAAAACTACAATTGTAGTTTTTCTGTAAATGCTCTGGATTGGGATTTGATTCTATAGAGTGTTTCCAGCTGTCCTATCTTGCAAATTTTAGAAAGAACCTCTACAATTGTTAATTGTAGACGGCTGATATAGTCGTCGGTGAATATAGTTGTTCTGTACTCTATGCAGAGAGAAATTGTGCCATTTTGCATCTCTGTCAGCTCAACCATGAGCGGAAATTTCGAACCTCCCCGGGGCCGTACAAGAACAAGGTCAAGCGGTCCTCCCAAAAACTCGCGGGTGCCAGTAGAGTCATCTATAGAGTGATAAGCGACCATTGCGTCAAATAACGGGTCGTGTCTTGTGTCCCCTTGCTTCCTTAGAGACTTTTGAATAGCTTGATAACTCGCAAAGTCAGCCATAGCACTCTCTGCTGACTGCCGAATATGGGCAAAGAATTCTTCAGTCGACGAGAGGTTGGGTTCGTTAATTATGAAGCGAATTGGAACACGATCGAGTAAAAGCCCAAAAACGTCCTCTGCGCCCGATTCGTTGCGATTATGGAATGATATACCCAGAACAATATCTGACGCCTCGGTCAGAGCATAGATTGTCAACGCAAGCGATCCCAATAGAAGCTGCTTCCGGCTGCAGGATGTGAGAGAGAATAAAGAAGAAAGACCTGTCACAACAGAGCTTGGCAAACTTTCATCTCGAAAATCTCCAGGTCCGGATATTGGGATGTGGTCCGGAACGCTGAACGGAGTGGCGGGTCTTGGATGCAAATAGGTATTCCAAAATCTATCAGCGTCACTGTGAAGAGCACTTTTTATTCTCGACCAGTTTGCCCAGTCGATATAATCAAGATCTGCGCTTGCCACCTCTTGACTATTTGCATTTTTTCTCCCGCGCTCCACACCAACTACCCGTTTTGAACTTTCGCGATAAAAGGAGTCAATCTTCTTAATTAATAGTGAAATAGCCGCCTTGTCAGCCACAATACGAGGACAGACTGAAACGAGTCGACCTCTACTCTTATCCCTGTTTAAATTAATTAAACTCCGAAATGGTTGTTCTTTCTCCAGGTCGAACAGAGTGTTGCTGATGATGTCGATTAAACGGTCTTGGATAAGACCTGGTGTACTCACGACGATATCTGTCTTTCTAAATTGGTCCGACAAAATTCTCTGAGGAACTCCGTTGACCAGGATGTATTGTAATCGAAGCAACTCGTACGACTTGATCGCTGAATCTACAGCGATCCGCAGCCTATCCGCCGAAACATTAGCTGGATAATGGAGGACACAGGCAACATTCATCGCCGATGGATGTTCTGTCATTACGCACTGCAGGAACATTTCTTCTTCCAGGTAAGAAAGAGGGAGTGCGACGTTTGAGCGTGGCAGCCTCGGGCTTAACTGAAACGAACGAGCCACACTCGACCTCTCCTGAGCCGTAACTATATATTCATCCACTGCCTTTGCGAGCCGTCGGAGGCAAGGGTTGTTGATGACGAGGCCAAGGGGTATCGATCGTCCAAGATGAGTGGAAAGCTCTCTTGAGGCTCTAATCTGGAGCAAAGAATGGCCTCCCAAGGTAACAAAATCGTCCAAGGCACTTATTTGTTCATATTCCCGACTTAGAACTGTTGCCCAGATACGGGCTATTATCTGCTCGGTGGCAGTCTCAAATTCCACGTGCTGCTTCAGGTTCCTTCGCCACGCATTTTGTTCGAGGCTCTTTCGGTCAATCTTCTGGTTTACTGTCCTTGGAAGTCGGTCCATGCCAAGTATAACAGAAGGCAAGGAATGCCGGGGAAGCAATTTAGAAAGTTCATCAATTATCTGAGTAGTCTCCGTGTCGGCTGGCTCAACGAAACCTATCAAGTTGCCGTTGGAGACAATAACGCAGACGCCAGTTAACGCAGATGATAGCTTTCAAATGGCGTTTCGATTTCAGATAAATCTACCCGAAATCCTCTCACTTTGACGAGGATATCAGTTATCCTCATATACTCAATGTCACCACCCTGTGTCCAACATCCTCGGTCTCGTTACAGGCGTCCGTTTTTGGTGAATGGGTTTCGTATAAACTGCTTCTCAGTCTCCATTGTTTGGTTCAGATACCCAGAAGTCACTTGTATACCTGCGAGGCAATTTCACCGGGAACGCCGACTGGCTCAGGTCTGAGATCCTCGTCTAATATGTAGACATTCATTCTTGGGATGGGTCGACCAAGCGTGATAGGCTGGTCAATGAAAAGCGGACAGAAGGTGGAACCGATAGTGCACTGGTCTTAAGGTTAACTTGGATTGCTCAAGCTGGTTTAAAGAAACATGAGAGAGCTAATTAGAGCTTACTTCACTCGGTCCATAACTATTGAACACTTTTCTGCCCGGTCCCCATCGTTCAAGTAGAGCCGAAGGAATAGATTCTCCACCGACTACAATCTAGACCTTCAAGTCAGCATTACGTGTCATCAGTTACAAAGTCCTAGACTTACCATTTCCAGCTTTGCAAAGTCTTTGGGATCTAAAGCGCCCAGGATAGACGGGGTTGTCAAGGTTGCGTCTACGGTTTGGAGATGAGAGAATAGATCGTCATGTCGAGGAACCAACGTCGCGCCGTAACAGAGGGCGCCAAATATCTCGGCAACACAAGTATCGAATCCTTGATAAATTATCCACAGACCTGCGTCATGGACAAGCAAAGTGCGGCCATACCGACAGACAAATTTTGGGCGGTGTGACGTCCAGGCCCAGCTTCTAGGCGAGCTGCAGGAAATGAGATGTACGAAAGAATCCCAAAATGCTGAAGTGCAATTGCTTTTGAAAGGAGAGTTAGTTAGGCACTCTATACGTCACTTGAAATATCCTAGCAGGCTTACCTTTTGGCACGCCCGGACTTCCGGATGTGAAGATTATGCACGCGGTGCCGCCCCGGGTGGTTTTAACCGACAATGTATCTGACATGACATTGACGGCAACGGGATTCAGATCCTCGAGCAGTATGACCGGTCGAGTAGGTATTTGTTGGTACGCCTCCCGTGATGAGATGTTTGGGCAGAGTATGACAGGGAATTACTCTCTGAGATCATCGTGCTCATTCTCTCCGCTGGAAGCTTGACGTCGATAGGGCAATACGCAGCTCCCGCTTTTAACACTGCCAAAATACAGATAGTCCACTCTATTAACCTATCACTCATCACTGAGACGACATTCTCACCATGAGCGAGTATTTCCTTGAGCCCACATGCAGCTCTACTGGATACATCATCAAGCTCCATGTAGGTTAGAGCTTCGCGGCCAGACTGCACAGCAACCAAGTCTGGCCATTGCCGAACTGCGTTGCAAATGGCTGTGACAAGGTTGTCTGCGCCTTCGAAGTATGTGTAAAACTGATTATGGGGTCTAGTCAACCGGCAATACTCGTCCGGATCCATTATCCTGCCCAGTACACTGCCGACGGTAGACTTGTCACTTTGCAACACTTGGTCGACAATGTTTTGGTAATGGTTAACTAGGGTTTTGACATAATTCTTGCCAAGGGGTTGATGATCATACACAATGCGTATCCTGAGACACTCGTCGCCTTGTTCTTCCACGTCTAATATCAGTGGAAATTCGCTCTTGGCCTTAAGCGTCCAGTCCCAGTCGTATGTTCGATGTCTACTGTTACCGAATCGGTTCTGTAGATTGACTTGCATAGCGACAAGGCTGCTAAACATGTCTGACTGCAAAGTCGAAGAGATGTTCTCAGTCAGGTATTTGGATGCTGACCACTGAAATTCCTGTATATTTAGCAGTTTCTCCTGTACTCCGGCTAATAATGCGGCCGCACTCCGCTCTTCATCGATCTCGATCGGAAACGGGCATACATTAATCATGGGGCCGACAATTCTATCAGAATTGATCAAGTCAATGTCTCGTCCTGAAAGAACAGTGCCAAAGATGACACGGGTAGAAGAGACCATATCGCGACAGTAGCATCGCCCAAGTTCTGTATACAACTGTCGCTTCTGATACGGACAATTGAGACGAGAGCGTCCTTAAAGGAGTCTTGCCACACTGGAGAATAGACCTCTCTTCCAGCCAAAAGTCGTCAGACGCTGCATCTCTATACTAGCTTAGAAGATGTAGTAGATTTGCAGGCAAAAGGCCTTTTAATGAATTATTCCAAAAATCCATGTCCACATCTGCGGCCTTGGCCATTAAATTATTTTGTACTCTTGATACCTGGTTAAAACCAGGAGCTAATTCGGGCATTTCTGAGTAGTTTAGGGAGGCTTCAAGTTCATTAATAATGAGCTGTGTTGACCACCCATGTGTTAAACTGTGGTGAACACACACAGAATATTGGTGACTTGGTATGGCGCTGATATAACCCTCAACGACTTGAGTGGCCCTATTTTATCAGTGTTGTAATGGCTTCCGCCGTAGACATTGCCTAGAAGGATGTTCTCACAACGTGATATTGTTTCATTCAGGTCCTGGACCGTACAAATATCTTGTTTGTACTCAAGTGAAGGTTCTTCCTCAATAATGTGGGTCTGCAAGTGGGCGTCAAAGGCGGTTCGAAAGATAGCATGTCTGTGAAACAAGTACAAAAACGCTCGTCGAAGTCTGTCCAGGTCAAAGGGTTGATTTTCATGGCGTATTCTTATAGTTACAAGAAGATGGCTTAACGCTGGATAGGTCATTGTCGCTCGTGACAGTTTCTGCTGCACGGTCATCGGCGCGGACCCTGTACTGTCCGTATGGGAAATGCCGTTGGAGTGGCCATTTGTGAGGGCTTCATCTGGGTCACGGAAATGTGTCAAGGATGGTAGAAGATCTGTCAAGGGTTGCTTATATATCATCTTGATTGATGGAATGGCGAAGCTGTGCCTTTTAAGTTCACTCATAAGTCGGATAGCCGAGAGAGAATTTCCGCCAAGCCCCAGGATGAAGACGCAAGGGCCTCCTGTTGCGGCGCGATGCTCAGCGCCGATGATAGAGCGTGGACAAGTGTTTCAAATGGCGTGGACGTTGCATCAGAAGTCGATGTCTGATCATCCACGGACTTTGTTTGTTCATTCAACCAACTTTCCAGAGCCCTTGGATCAACCTTGTCATTCGCGGTGACAGGAAACCGATCTAGAGGGTATATCCGTTCCGGGACAAGGAACGCGTCAAGCCGAGCGGCCAAGTCTTCTCGGATCTTCGGTCCTGATACAGCTCCTGGGGTGACAAATCCTATGCGATTGTCTCGATGCATGATAGCTGTCGCTTCGTCTACTCCGGGGCAAGAGAGCAGAGCAGGTTTAACGTCTGCTCCCAGGTTGATGAGGAAGCCGCGGTTCTTTACGACGAAATCATTACGTCCGAGGAACTGTATCCCGGAGACGGTACGCCTTGCAATGTCCCCGGTTCGATAATAACGTTCCTGGGTCTGTTCACAGATGATGAACTTCTCTCTCGTGAGCGCTTCAGTGTCAAAGTACCCACAGGCGAGGCCAGGGCCGCTGATGCAAAGCTCTCCTTGGTTCGATTTTCGAAGAACTTATATAGGAGAATAACGTCACTGCCGACTATCGGGTGCCCCAAAACAACCGGCTCACTGGGAGTGAGCTTTTGGATGAGGGATGTACAGGTTGTCTCCGTTGGCCGTAGCAGTTGTGAAGAGCCCGGCCTAGGGTAGCCTATTTCGCCATCAAGCAGTCAGAGGGCGCTTCCCCTCCCATGAATACTGATCGTACGGACGAATACCCCTGAGAAGGATCAAGTGCCGAGAGCATAGATGGTGTTACTGTCATTATTGTACATGTCTCTGCGACTTGAGAAAATTGGTGTACGGTGCCGAGGACAGCGGTTGCTCCGTTACATAGAGATGAGAATAAAGCACCAGTGAAGGCTGAGAGGATAAGCAACTACGTTAGTAATATGGCATTACTGTCTTTGAGATGGGGAAGAGGGGCATGTGTGTTATTACCATCAAATGCCGGGGAGAAGGGCAAGAATACCCTATCTGATTGTCCTGCATCGAGGTTGAATGGGGTTTGTTGACCATAGTTGACTAATATGCGATGAGGAATCATGACTCCTTTGGGAGCACCGGTGCTACCCGAAGTAAATATTATATATGCCAGCTGGTCCGGAGCAGATTCGGCTTCTGTGACTACCGACTTGTCTATGCTCGCTTCGTCGGCCTCTGGCACGTAGCATCGCTGTACGTCTTCAAGACTGATGACATCAAATTCGCCGGGTGGCATCTCCTTGAGACAGATTTAGCCGACCCAAAACGACTGTAGTCCTCCTGGGCTGTGGATAGGAAAGCATAGCCCTAGTCGGCCTGTACATGTAGGTTTGCAACGATACCAGCCGAAGCCATTCCACCGCTGGTGATGCCTGGAGGGACAGCCTTCAACGGGGAGCCACAGTCACCGGCAGCGTAAACCCCTTTGATGTTGGTGGCATAGACAGGCTGCGAAGTCTTTACCTCGGCTCCGGATGGGGTCAGCTCTAAGCCCAAGTCCTTTGCAAACGCCACATTTCTTATTTTAGCACTATAAGCCGTGTATAAAAGCGGCTTATAAAAGAGGTTATTATAATAATAATACTACAAATAAAAGCTATAATACTTATATATATTTTATTAATAGCTTTTTTAAAAAAGTTTAAGCGGTATATATACCGGGTATTACAAATAGCCTGAAATAATAGAATGTTCCTATTCAATTATAGATAACCGCAATTCAACTGGGGCACGGCTTTTCTGCCAACACAACCAGTATCCTAGGAAATAGCGTAGATCAGGTATCTGTATCTCTAAAAGAATATAAAGTCCAACCTTGATTAACAGACGAGTTCTCTAACACTGCTGAAAGGACGAATCGCAATTGCTGGCTGCAACCAAGCCACGGGTGTAACCCATTGAATATCCCGGCAGGGTCGTATAACACTACAGCTCTAATCTTGCAGTCTCTCGAGAATATTTGAAAGATTGCAGGTATTCGTATGTTATTTAGGCGGACAGGTATCTCATCGCGTTCAGGATCTCGTAATGCACGTAACACAAGCTTGAATGACTTTGGAAAGTCGGGACCTTGACGAGGATCGGTGAGATGTAGATGAATTTCTGCCACTGAGGGCGCTGGCGAAGTATAGATATGTAAAAGACGTTCGTTAACGATTCAAGCTAGTAGACGCTTTGCGGTTTCGCTTTGAGTGTCCTGACTGAAGTCCGTGGGCATGCCGACAATAAGTTCTGATGCTATTATGAAAAGGGCACAATATGTGGGCTTGTAAAAGGGTTCAAACTTAAAGTTATTACTGTAAGGTATCCAAGGTTCTTAGTTTCCTAAGAGAAAAAGAGGGCATTAATAACTATTATATATACCAAAAGAGCGTCTGTGCCGAGGGCCCTTGCCAGGACACGTGTATAATTTGTGTAACCAACAATCTGTAGCGGCAAGCAGGCTCGTTGCCGTATATTGAGCACTTAGTAACTATCAGTTTTCTCCTGGTATATTTTCCACCTTTAACCAACGAGGCCAATTGATCCCTCCCGTCAAGAAAAAGCTCGAGCACATGGATGCCGTGGTCACTCGTAGGAACCGTCCCTCCGTAGAGAAAACGTACATTATTCCGCAGTCTAATATTTTCATCTCCGACCCCCGAGAGAGACTCGCAACATTTTCAGTAGATTACGCCGATGAAGTTGATCGAATGGATGGCTCTAGTGGGAAAAACTGCGATTCTGGCGTTATATCATCGAACAATCTGCGCCAGCGACTTTGGAGCGCAGCAGGAGTATCCCAGGCCAACTCATCGTCTCGAAGCCACAATCGCAAAAGATGGCGCCTGATGCATGTATTGTAGGTATCAGCCGTGAGGTAAAAATACGCAGTGTGTCATTAAAGAACTCACTGTTTATCCGGGGTGTCGCGAAATGCGCCTCTTCCATGAAGAATACTCAGATTATTAATAAACTGAATATCACCAGACTGGAATTCAAGAGCTAATGCGTGTTTCTGGGCTGTAAAGTGCAAAGCATCAAGTGCCTCTGCTTGAGCTTCTGTGATGGGCGGGAGATGGCTGCTTCGGGGTAAACCCCAGTATCCAGTAAACGCTCGTCGGGCATACTGTATAATCACCCGTTCTGGATTGCTCGCCGTTGCTGCTTGATGAAAGAGGAGTGGTCGAGATGTAGGCGCGGATTTGCCGAATCTGGCTGCTCTGTCGGTATGTGATAATCCAAACAGTTTGTATAAAGAGCAGAGGAGACTATACTCACCCGTCAACATGCCAAGGCTCGGATAAGGTCCGAATCAAATCAGGTCTTGTAGCTGCCAGCTCATTATATACTGTCCAGCTGCTTGCGATGTAGCTTTTACCCCCCTCGGCTGCGTCCGCCAGCGCGAACAACGCAATCACGTCACCCGCGTCTGTGTGAAAGCCCTGTTGCTCTGCAGTGTATGCTGGAGACCCAATATGCTTTGCATCTAACTTTAAAGTGAGGTTCTTAATGTGGTCAAGGACCACATTGGCTGGCCGTCCATTAAACTGGTGGTCTTGTCGTGCTCGCCTAGTAGTCACATGAGATGCTATACCTGCATAGACAATAATGTTCTCCTCCCTGGTGTATTTTTTTACTGGAATACCTCGTATAACTTTAAATCCAAAGGTGTTGTGGATATCATTCGATACGGATCGTAACCGTGAATGAAGGGTAGGAAGGGGAAACGTTTGCTGGTTGATGTAACCAAGTGATTTGCCCGTGTCTTTTGTTCTCATGGTCAGGACGTTTTACAAAGCAAACATGTGGCAAGGTATCAAATTACCCTTAAAAATGTCCAGCGCCTGCTGAATCTCGTCCAGATCAGGTTCACTCAGCTCATAAAGCCACCCATATTGGTCACTTACGGTCGTACTAGTCCAAGCCATATGAGAATGTAACTTGTGTGGAAACCCATCAGGCAAGGTCTTATCCAGCTCTTCAGTGTCTTGGCGCCGTTTAAGGCGCTGCTGGTAGATTTCCAAGTTTGGCGTGTAGGCAATATCAGGTTGGCCAGATTGGCCCGTCACTTGTGCCGCCATACTTTGTATTTTTGATATATGCCGCACGCAGTCTTGTATTGAGAATTCGGAGCTTGGAACAGAATCCTACCCGGTAGTAAAATCCGAGACCAGAGGAGTCTCTTGTCCTGCCAAATGGAAGGGGGTCCTGGATGAGATCATGGCGCGTGGCCACGTTACGTAGGTCAAGCATAGCTTAACGAGGGAAAGAAACATGTCCATGAATGACAATAGAGATCACCCGGATCATGAACGGTCAATCTGGCGTATGTGGAGGTCCCCTCAATCGGGATTCTTTTCTTTGGAGGACATTACACTCCAAGCCCTTGAGCGGAATATGCAGCTGCACGGCTTGCATTACCTGTTGCGCAATGTTGGGTCGCAACAAAGGGCACGGGATGTGCAAGTGTAACCCTTGGGATCCGCGGCCAGTGGACACTTGTTGGGCCTACCAGATGGAAGCGACTTTGACCAAAGCTTAGATGGCGGTGGAGGCCGTGATGAAAAGATGAACCAACAAGGCCATTATCTCAGACCACGAGCCGTTCCAGCAACGCCTGCATGCGCCACTTTTGTCAGTCAAATAAAGACACCCTCCGGGTATATGATTGTATTCAGTACGACGCTGAGACTTGTTTTTTCTTTACCGACCCTGCAAGACAACCTGTGCATGTCTTGCTCGTACAGAATAGATATCCCGTTATGGTTTGATTGGATAAAGACGGTCTAGGTGGCGTAATGAGGTGAAATACCTTGGCCTTTTGATTGACCCTACGTGGCAGAAACAAGGACTGCGTTGTACCATGCGACGCGGGATAATCAATGCAAGAATCAAGCAGCAACCGATGCATCAATGCGCTGGAAAGCGACTTATGCATGTGGCTGCGGCAAGTGCAGTTACCAATGACTCATGAGTACATGTATTTGCCCTCGACCAATCAGAGCCCAAGGGACGGTCGTATTATATCAACATATACATGTGTCGGGTATTATATTTTCAAAGATGCAAAGCGGGAAGCTGCATACATGTACCGGGTATTGCTTGCCAACGTCCCGTATTCACTGTCCTCAGCCACCATTTGCCCAACTAACCAATTAAATGATATTGATGAATTGACAGACACGATATCAACATTGAACTCTTGGCAATTGCTACGGGGGCCCGACTTTGACCGCTTCTGATTCCCCCAAAATTCCGCACCCTCAGCTGGTACTTCCTGGCAAAGGCGCCACGGGCTTCAATGTTACCCAACATCTCCTCAGATCCCCTCGCCGTTGAATTGCCATTCTAATCTAGCACACTGTCAAGAAGCAATCGATTCCCATTCCTGTCCTGGAAGAAAGCAGTTACGCTGTTGCAAGTTGCAGCTCAAATCCTTTCCAAGTGCCTCATATTCATGACCACATCTACGACTAAACGGACGCACACTGACTGGTATTGATATCAAACTAGATGCCTCTTCCGCCACACGCCTCTGGTGCTGCCGCCGAACTGGCTGGCAAACATGCCGCTGACCACCCAACTAAACTGTATGGCGCGTGGTTTAGTCCCTTTGTCCAACGAGTTTGGATCACTTTGTGCGAGAAGAACGTCCCCCATCAATACATTGAAGTCGACCTGGGCAGGAAAGAGCCCGAGTTCCTGGCCATGAACCCTCGCGGCTTGGTACCGATCCTCGCTTTGGCAGCCGACCAAAGGCCGCTATATGAAAGCTCAATCATATGCGAATATTTGGAGGACAAATTTCCACATCATCAGCTGCTGCCGTCAGATCCATATACGCGAGCCCACGCACGGCTGTGGATTAATCACATCAATACAAGAATCATCCCGGCATTCTACAAGCTTCTTCAGCACACGACAGACAGGTCGTATAGCCTCGAAGAAATTCGGACTGAATTCCTTGGTCACATTCGAAGCTTCACAGAGCAAATGCATTCACAGGGGCCATGGTTCTTAGGCGAAGATATAAGCCTAGTCGACATTAGTCTAGCTCCATGGGCACAACGTCTTTGGTTACTAGATCACTTTAAGATTGGCGGAGCAGGTATTCCATTAAAGGATAGGGATCATATCTGGCAACGGTGGTCTAAGTGGTATGGTGCGGTTATGAAGCGGCAGAGCGTTCAGGAAACATGGAGCGAGGATGAAAAGTATATTATAACTTATCAACGCTATGCGGATGACACCACCAAGACACTTGTTGGGCAGGCAACGAGGCTGGGACAGATGTTGCCATAGCATGCTGGACGACCTTGTAGAGTTGAATGAAATTTCAATGACAAGTACTAAGCTACTTGCTAAACAACAGGCAGCGGACCTCGATGCTCACTCTCTTCTCAGCATCTTCCCTTGTTCGCGGGTCATTGAATGCTGCATGGGGGCATATCCCTCTGATTCCAGAGCTCTGTTTCAGCGACTCACTATCAAAGCACTCCATAATCACCCGGTCGTTATTGGTGATACCACTAAGGTAGTACCACTTCTGATTCGGGTTATACTTTATAAGCGCCACTTCCCGGATGAATCTGCCATCCTCACCGCGGCGCTCAACAGTGACGGAATCCTCATCTGCAACCGTTGCGGCAGAGCAAAAGGCCAACGGGCATTCTTCTACGGGATTCTTGTTGAGAGGACACCAAACGTTGACGGTACGGTACCGATGCCGCAAGAGCTCATCTGCCTCGGTGGGGAGATACTCCCTCACGCGCTGAACGATGGAGTTGGGTGTGTGATCATTATGAACGCGAGTCAATGGGCGGTATGCCGCACCTGGGACTTGTGACCGGATCGTGTGGTTGTAAATAAAGATGTAATCGATCCCTGGAAGGTGGGCAGAGACCAGCTCTTTCACCTCCGGGTAGAAGTTCATCTGGATAGACTCGTCATCGGTGAAGTCGGTTTCCTTTGACGGTGGTACCCCTTCGATAATCTGAAAGGCGTCACGGTCAATCGTGAACTCGACGTCTTGGTCACGGACATCATGGATGATGATGTCGTGGGGACAATGCGAGTAATTGCGTTGGAATTCAGAATTCATCTCCTCGTTGTAAATGTGAAAGGGAGGCGATCCGTCAGTCGGAGGTCCGTAAAAGTTCAAGGTTGCTTTGACATCTCCACGGGGAACAGAGATTGTGCCAGGCATTGTGTGATGGTGAGGTGAGTTTGGCTATACGATCGAAATGACAGCAAGAGTAAGAGCTCCAAAACTCGAGCGGGGTAAAAATGCGACGATTTATATGACGGAATATTAGTAATACACGGGGCATACAACATTCTGTCGCACAAATAAAGAGACGATGCCTTGGCTGAGCGTGTAACCAGTCATTGTCTATTGCTCAGGAAAGAGCCTCTGCCGCGTCCTATCTCTTCTGCTTAGCCGGCTAGTGGGTGACTCGAACATCTATAGCGTCTTCTTGTTCAAAGTTGACGTCAAGTCCAAACCCTCGTATTACTCCTATAGACATATATGAAACCAACGAGAAGCGGCAGGTGTTACACGGAAAAGGCCCAACAGATCATGACGCCCAATAAATGGGCTTCGCTAATACAGGACTTATTAGTTACATAGCTAGAACATATATCCGGGTAAGGACCCTAGGCCTAGGCGCTCCTTTTATATATATAAGACGGTTACTCTTCTTCTCTCTTCTCTTAGTAACTTAAGACCTTAGAGACTCTTCGAGATTATTATTGAATTGAGCCCTTTTAGCTCTAAGCCCTCATGACGAGCCCTTGTCACAGCAGGAAACGAGCTTTCAAAGACACCGTGGGCTGATTTTAGCCGATTCATTTTTCTATACACGCAAATCTGCTTCACGAGGGATTTATTTACTACTCTTCTTTCAACTCTCCAATGCTGTTCTGTGTTTTCTCATTGCATCTCAATAGTTCAAGTATTGGCTTGGCTCCGTTTTCCACCACAACTCGAAGCAACTCGACCACGATGCATGCCGATTTTAGAAGTTCTGGCAACAGGATCAACGTGCGTGAGAATGAGCTCTCACTGCAACACTCACTTTCGCATTACCATGACTGGGCGAGGCATCTTTCCCAAATGATACCAGTATATACCTTCTCTATCGTCTTGTGTTGTTCCAGCATCCGTCAGGTGGCGCTGCGGCAAAACAGAATCAAGTCAGCTTGAGAAAAAACTTACCCCAGCTTGAGAAGGTCGATGCGGCTCACCTTTGGAACGTTTTCTATCCACTCAGAGGAGGGATTGGGCTCGACCCATTGACAATCTCTGAAGTTTGAATACAGTGCACCATAGTATGACCCCTTATCCTGATGATAGTACTTGCCCAGAAGTGGACGAAGAGCATCAGTAGCTTCCTGTGCGTGATAATGCGGAATGCGTGGGAACAGATGATGAACAACATGGAGGTCAATGATGTGATGCAACAAGTGTCTCAAGAAGTAGCCGGGGTCTCGATCCACGGTACTCAAAGCACCACGGAGAAAGGTCCATGACTCTGGCGAGAACTTGGGTAGACAGGGAGACGTATGATGAAGGTAAGTGATGATGACTATGTCGGCATTAGCAAGTCTGCCGACGAACGATGCAGCTCACGTTGTGAGGTTCCATACCAATGTAGTGATTCACCCACATCAACGGCAATATGTAGGTCCAAGTAATCGTCCACCAGCCGTACACACATGCGGCTTTATACACGAGATAGCTCATGGCGATAATGCCAACGTCAGAGGCCACAATGGACCAGAATTCTTCAGCGCGAAACAGAGCCCCCCATGGGTCGAAATGGCTGTTGTTCCACCAGCCGTGGGATGGCCGGCGCACAGCCTGACTGCCGGCTGTGATGTTGGTGAGCAAGTACCAGGGCTGTAGCACATGGATCAGTGTGATTCTGAGAATAAGAATCGAATTGGGTGTAAACAAACCCATCCAATGAGCTGCTGTAATATCACTCGTGCCAGAATTACGATGGGAGCGTCTTCAGTCATCTCACGGAGCTCAAAGTCTCCTTTGGGTTTGAACAATTCCGAGTATTCATGCCTTCTTGGGGGCACATAGTTGTGATCCTGCGAGGAAAAAGTTTGAACAACATGTTTCAAGACAGAATTGTGATGATTGACGTATGCAGTCATACCTTAACCATATGATTGGCATACACGTGATGTCTGGAATGTGTTGACCTCCAGCTGAAGAACGGCGACATGAGAAACGAATGGGCGGTGAAACCGAAAAAGTCACCAACCAGGCGGTTCTTGCAAAACGAGCCATGGCCTGCCTCGTGTCCCAAAACCCAAAATCCCGTCGCAGGCATGCCCGCGAGAAAGGGATACACGAGACCGCAGACTACAAACTTGAGCACAGGGCTTTCGATTTGCCGTTCAAGGTACAGCGCCAGTGTCAGCAAAGATACCATGAACAGAATGTCTCGTAAATAAAACCCCAACGAGCGCACAATTGACGGTTGGAAACAGTGTTTTGGGACTGCCGCACGAAGCCCGTCTATGCCTATCAACCCATCGACATACTACGAGACATGTTAGCATCCATTGAATGAGAATATTCGTCAAGGAACTTACTCCAGGCCGTACCGGCTCCTCATGGTATGTGTCCGGAACGTAGAGAACATGCTTGGTCTCGGTTGTAACATTCTCGGTCGTGCTAGTAGTCGCCATTGTCATTGTTGATTTCGTATCAAAAGTGGAGGGGGAAGACTGTAGTCGTTGCAAAGCAAGATTGAATCATGTAAGATGAATTCCACTTATGAGTGCTCCTTCTGTGAAGAGGACGAATCTCACATGATGCGGTGTGTGAAAATGAAGCTGCCGTTGGCTGCATGACAAGGGCCATCTTGGACGTGGCTTGCGTTTGCCACGTCGAGCAGACTGGATGCTGTTACTGTACGGAGTATATTTCGCAACCAGTCATGTGCACAACTTGTCCCCAATTCAATATGCAGTTACCATGCAGCTTGACCGCTGCCTACACGTATAGTCTCGTATATTCCTTTGAGGTTCTCGGACAAGTTTGCATCTCCAAACAACGTGTCCAGTGTATTCCGTCCCGGTTGCATGAGTGGCCGAAAGTTGTGTCACATCCCGTTGATACCCAATCATGCCAGGCAAAACTCCCGGTGCATGCGAATGAAACTTTTCAGGTGGCACTTGTCTCTGAAGCCCCGACGGTCCTCCACGTCTTTCTTGCCCCTGATTCTTTATGCAAGCCCAGCAGTCAGCCACACTGCAGCTTGGAGTCAAAAGTACGGTGTAGATGCTTTCACCATTCAGCGTCACTGTAACGCTGAATGGGTGTGTATGCATCAGCCCAGTGTATTCATTGTTGTCTCATCTGTTCAATGTCCTTCTCTCTTTTCTACGCATTAAAGCGTGTCGCGGTCAACACACCCCGGTATGCACTTGACCTATTAAAATGAGGATATGCAAATAGAGTTGTCACGATAACCACATTCCCTCAGTGTCCTGCTCTGGCTCGCCACTGGGTCAATCGCATGCAATTCTACTGCAAGATTTTCTCAACATTCCAAGTATTGCTAGTAAATTCTATTCGGTGACATTAAAGCCCAATCAGATTGCAACATGGGTAGCAAAATCGACTGCTATATCGATGTTGGTACGTACATTTTGACCGGCAACGTGGAGCGGGATGGCTAATTGTCTCAGCTTCGTTTTACAGCTTCCTGGCATTCCACCACCTGATCAACAGTCTTGATCTTTTAGCAAGGCACAACGTTGAAGTCGAGTGAGTTGTCGTGACATTATTATCCGCGTTGCTCTGGGAGCTGACACTGCTGTGCCGTGACCAAGATTCCACCCCATCTTCTTGGGCGCGGTTCATGCCAGTTCAGGCATGTCAATCCTGTTATGATATTCACCAGTGGCAGAAAGTTTAACAGCTGAGGCATCAGGTAATACACCACCGTGGGCCGGGAGTAAAGCCAAGAGAGAATACCTCAAAAAGTACGAACTTGTCAGAGCAGCAAAGATGCTGCGCGTAGAGGATATTGTTTTACCAGAAGACCTCAGAGACCTGTTAGACCTGGGTTGGACCCAGAAGGCAAGTAGCGGATATCTACTGTGAGACGAAATATACTGACTTTTCAGCCTTGCCGCGCTCTCATGTACATCAAGGATCATTATCCACGCAACGTGTATCACGCGTCGTTCCACTACCTTTTTCATTTCTTCTGGACGACCCCAGAAAAGCGGGTTTTCGATGAGCTGGTACTTGCACAAGTCCTTTCCAACATGCCACTAGAATTTCATGGGTCCGAAACTCACCATGGCTCTCAACGAATGTTTTCCGAGGATGAGGTGACGGTCATTATGTCAAACCAGGCCAGTCTGAAGTACAAGGATATGCTCAAGGCCAATTCTCAGTCTCTCAGTGACCTGGGTGCCTTTGGTCTGCCTTGGCTTGTAGTCAGCAACTCTGAAGGGCACAAAGAGCCTTTTTTTGGCAGTGACAGGTAAACGGCTGAATCACACCCTCATCCTCGCAAAGCTTGGGTAACCTAACTTGATTCAGGTTTCACCATATATACAAGTTTCTACGCTTGCCTGTCCAGGATTTTGAATTTCTTCCCTCTCTCGACTTTTTCCAGGATGCAAGACTAAAGCTTTGAAAGACCAAAATGGTTTGACGTTTTTCCTGTATCTCCGTCTATATAGACACATAAAACAAGACACTCAACCTTTGGAGTCAACTTGACATCATGGCCCCCCACGATATGGAGAGGCGACTTGTGACCAGTTTGATTTTGTCAACTTTAATGTGCTCCCGACTTCTCCTGACACTCACTTTCAACTTCATCAGACAGACCCCAGCGTTTCTCAAGATGTTCAATCGCGTCCTCCAGACCGTACAATCGTAAAAATTGATTCACGGCGCTGTAGGCACTGTCCAAAGCGCCCACTATCCAGCCGTGATGAAGACTCGAGGCTTCGCCAACAATATGGAATTTTCCTTGTGCGGCGGGCCGCGTCAAGAATGGCAGTAGATTTTTGACTTGTGAAGGACTAGGAGATGCATGTGCGCCCGAAGCATAGCCGTCGTTTCCCCACGAATAGGCATGATACTCGCCAGTGTATGCGTCCTTGATCATGTCATACGTCACATGCTGGCCGTGTAGCGTCGCCAGGTCCCGTAATATCAGATCGATGAGCGGCTCACCATCCGACGCAGACGCACCGATCAGAGACGCAATACGACGTGCATCTTGGCCTTGTGTATACGATGCAATAAGGACCGATGGCCCGTCAGGACCGTCGAGGATATTGTATGAAGGGTACACACAACTTCGCATCGGCAAGTCCGTCATGCCCATGCCGCCACGGCGTATGCCACAGTGAACAATCCACCAAGGGTATTTGAATTTGATGGCCACTTTGGTCGCGTCTTCGTAGTGCATCGCACGGATGGCCTCACTTTGTGAGGGATGCAAGTCCAGGCTTGCCAGATCGATACGTTCCAGGGCGCCTAGAGTGGTGGTGCTGAATACCGTGCTAAATCCCGTACGAGGCTGATATTCGCCTTGGACATGGATTGACAAGTTGTTCTCTTCAGACATGTCTCGAGCCATCGTAACAGCCGTGACATGTTTCTTGGTTTCGACCTGGTTTCGGATCCGCCTTCGCATCGCATCAATCAGGACGCCGGAGCCTCCGTCAATGCACCACCACGAAACCCCAATGGTCAAGTATGATCTCAGCACACTGGCGGAAAATGCCCTCTCAAAGAAGCCAGTGTATGTGCTCTGCCTCTCCAGCCATTGGATACTGAAAAAGTCGTACTTGGGCCGGGCGCGGCGTAACCCACCGTGAGCGAGATGCTGTCGAGTACTGACATCATCGGATTTCAAGAGCTCCTCAATACCAGTCGAAAAATCTTGCCTCAGACCCTCCTTATAGCGTGCATATTCCCGTTCCAGAAGCTCCCGGGATTGAGCCACCACAAAATCAGGAACTGAACCGCCGTTGCCCTCACCGACGTGATGTGGATCGGCATCGTCAGGTGCAGAGAATCTTCCGTTGAAATACCTGGGACAGCTTTCTCTGTCCATTATATAGTATGGTATGAGTGGAACCTTTGTGTCATGGAATAAGCGGAAGGCTCTCCGCATGGGCGGAACCTTGGGATATCTCATGGCACCAACGTCATAATAGTCGTGCTTGTCACTGCTGAAATGGTGCGTAAACAGTCGCCCACCTACTCGAGAACTAGCCTCAAGAATTTCATAAGTGAGATCCGCGATGGCAAGGTCATCTAGAATCATGGCGATGTAAAGACCTGCTATCCCAGCACCAATGATGCCGATCTTGTGAGACTGGTATAATTGCGGTCAGAGAATAAGAGGTTTAGAATTGCCAAATTGGTTGTCACGTACGTTACCGACATGATTTTGAGACTGCTCAGTATCGGGCAAAGAAGAGTTTGGAACTGAATCATCCGGATCGCAGCATGGTTCGCGATGAGGGGATTCACAGTCGAGTAGCGGGAGCCTTGACACCTGCTCTTGCGCGGGTTGGTCTGCTCCGTCATTGACCGAGTCGTCATCAGCCACATACGATAACTTGATACGCATTGTTGAATGTGTTGAAGGCATTCGGCCCAAGCTGAAGCACGATTTTGCAACCCAGTGCTCGGAGTACTGGTACGACTATTGTAATTTGTGAGTGGTCGACGGGACATCATGGCCGTAGTCTGGTCATCATTTTACTTACCCACCCTTGAACGAATTGTGTCCAACAGATGATACGTCTATCTGAAGGTGCTGCTTGGTGTCGCGTCACCGGTCTCTTCTTGGTGACCCGGAGTCAGGCACAGATGTAGAGCGAGACTTGGTCCAAGGCGGAAATTCAACTGAGACAATCGGCCGGGAGCAACAGGTGGTACAAGATATCCACGACAGACCATTCTCTGCGCCATGCATGATGGTGCATGAGCTAAGAATATAGCTTTTGTAAATGGCGGTGTGACTAGAAACATGATGTCGCATGCATTGATAGTCGTATGCAAGCCTATACTATACGATATTGTATGCCGTGCTCCCGTATTTCTCGACGGAGCAGGGTAGGATGTTCATTGAGAAGCATGTAGGTTTTCCTTGGCTTGTAGCGTAACATGCGCGATGTGGCCGGGAGTAGCAGAGGATATTGATTGCTCATATCGGAATGTTCAGCTATGGACAAGTACTTCAATGATGAATGTCGGTGCGATGGCCAAGTTTTGCTCACCCTGGTTCGAAGCTTGATAATGTATCCAGACGTTGCAGGGTAGCGGTTCAAATCCTCCCCAGCATCTGAACAAGTTCCATTCTCGAGCGCGGGGCAGATCCAAGCCTTGAATTCTTGTTACAGGTTGTCTTTTTGTGGCAGTTTGGATATTTGCTTCAATTCAATCTCAGTCATGGAAGCATTCCGGGCATTGTCGCTTTTCCAGCCATCAAACTTTGTCGCCGCCATTCAGTCTACTCGCGACAGTGACTCGAGTGGACAGAAACGGTTGTTTGGCGCCATGCTGTCTATTCCACACATGGAAGCGGCGCGGTCTGCGTCTGTGCTAGGGTTCGAGTTTATTCTTATTGATGCGCAACACACGTATGTGTCATGATAGCACACTCAACACAACCAGTTGCTAACGCGCAACCCATGCAGAGCCATCGATGCCGAGAATCTGGTGGGACTCATTCGAACAATCAACTTTACAAGCGAGGGCAAGACGTGTACGCTGGTGCGCGTTCCAGGCGCTGAATCCCATTTGCTCGCCTACGCTTTGGACGCTGGTGAGGAAGATGTTACCCTCTCGTTGTGGCCAAGGGAGAGTGCTGACTCTCCTAGGGGCATCTGGCATTGTCTTTCCGCACATAAATTCACGAAAGGATGCCATGGCGGCGGTAAACAAGGTCAGATATGCTTACAAGGGTGGTGAAAGATCACTGGCACCATGGGCTCTTGTGCCGTTCCTTACAGATCAAGCACCGGATGGACACACGGCCGAGACAATCTCGGATGAGCATGTCGCCGTCATATGCCAGATTGAAACTACCGTAAGACTTTTGGCACTCTTGTCTTCACAACCTGAACTAGACCTTTTCTAATCAATAACAACAGCTTGGGCTAGAAAATGTCGACGAGATTGCAGCTACACCAGGCATCAATGCCCTGATGCTCGGCCCGGGTGATATGCGAGTCTCACTGCGCCTACCGGTCAGAGGCCCAGGAAGGAAAGAAGACGATGCCGTATTCTGCGAGGCCAGAGACAGACTGGTCAAGGCGGCCAAAGCTCATCAAATGGCGCTCATGACTATAGCTTTCAGGGCCACCCCGGGCATTGAGGAGTGGTTAAAGGACTTTGATCTCATCGTTACAAGTTCCGATATCAATAGCATCGTCAGGTTTCATCTAGATGGCCGAGCGGCGATAAGATGCGCTTTGCGTGCAAGTAGTATAGCCTAATGTCGATAATGGACACCGCATCCCCGATTGTTTCCAGGTTGTGATGAGTTTTCCGGCCATTGATTGCGAAAGATAATGTTTTCCATGGCCGCGCACTATGTATACCGGAGCTTGACCCTTTGGCAATGCTTGGGCGTATTCCAGCAGTAAATGTGGGACGGGCTGAGACAGAGCAGCAGTACATTGATACACATGTAGGCTATATTCGTCCTGTTGCAGAAGGCTGCAGGCCACGAGCTCCAGAATTCTGCGGGAAGACGCCACGACGCCATATCTGGACCAGGTTGTTTCTTGTCACGGTCCTACAGGGGCAGTGGCGTCTCGTCCATGCGCTGGTAGGGCATTCATGCTTCAAGTGCAGGCACTCAACTACAGTCTGTGACTAATCTCACGCTGCAAATGAGGCGTGCCTACATGTACTTTGTCTATATCATTGTGTGACACGGGGTAATCGATACTTTGCGCAACACAAGTCAGTGTTGATAAACCAACAGGACACTACAACCAATTGATACTCGATCCCGATTCACATCAACATGACACGCCCAGAAACGATTTGCAAAATGGACAACTATTCAGTGCAAGAAGAAAGCGCGCGTATTTTCCACGAACATCTCATCAACAACGAGCAGTTGGGTCTGCCTGCATCCATTATTGAAGCAGCAAAGCATGTCCAGTTTGTTGGCATCGATCCCAAGCCATACATGCCCACTTGTTGCAAAATGACAGAATCTGCCTCTGCCCTTTCAGGATTTGTAGCAGCGACAGCGAATGCAATATGCGCACATCGATACGGAACAGAGTACCAAGACGTTCAAGTCGACACGTAAGCAATCCCCAACTCGTCACGGTGCAAACGAAGTTTTCGAGAGTATGCAACAGCCTTGCTAAATAAAAGACAGTGACCTCGCAACATTGTTTCTCCAGTCATTCTTTTTACCTGAAATCAATGGCAAGCCCTTCTGGCAACATGCTCCCTTGGCGGCTGAGCTTGATAAAGGTGATTTATATGATATACAAAAACCAATTCATCAACAAGCTACAAATATTTATCAAGCAAAGGATGGGAAGTGGTATCAGCTACATGGATCGCTCAACTCCAAGCCAACAATGGATATGCTCGGTGTGCAAGAGCAACATGTCACACACGAGGAAGCCTTTAGCATTTACGCCAGAAAGGTGAAACAACTTGACGCGGCCACGTTAGAACGGATGGCAAATGATGATTTCAGTCAACCGGGAGTCACATGTCTGACACATGAAGAGTTTCTCGCCTCAGAACATGGCAGGATTATAAGCAAAGAGCCGCTTTGGACTATGAAGTCTATACCCGCGCCTTCAACTAACTGGCCACCAAACCCACACGCAGCCAATTTAAAACCCCTTGCAGGAATTCGGGTTATTGACTTTTCTAGGGCAATGGCCGGTCCTATCGTGTCTAAACTCTTGGCGCTTTTTGGTGCCGAAGTCATTAAAATATCACACAAGGAACTTCCTGACTTTCCCATCACCTGGGTTGACTTGAACACTGGAAAACATGATGCAGAGATTAACCTGAAAGATGCCGAGGGAAAATTAAAACTTGCTGAGCTTATTGCCGGCGCTGATGTTTTGGTTGACTGCTATCGACCTGGCGTATTGGCAAGACTTGGTTTTGATAGCAAGTCAATGCGCAAAATCAACGAGCGTCTGATCTATCTGAGGGAGAACTGCTATGGGTTTCAAGGACCGCTTGCGCATCGCGCAGGCTTACAGCAGATTAGCGATTGCTTGGTCGGCCATTCATGGCTGCAGGGACAATTTTTGGGGCTGGACGAACCTGTGCTGCCTCCGCTGCGTAAGTACCACCGTTTTAGAATATACATCTACGTCGGAATAAATGGCTCAACTTGAAACAAACAGCGAATTCGGACTATCAAGCCGGCCTAGTGGGTGCGGCCGTTGCCATGCTGGCTCTTCTCGAACGTTCCAAAGGGGATACAGCGTTTGATATCAATATCAGCTTGACCCAATATAATATTTGGTTCTACCGTCTGGGTCAATACACGGATGATCAGTGCCGCAGGCTAAGGGCACGTAATCCAAGTTTCCAGGCCAGGCACTATGACGGGATGCGAACGCTGGTTGCCAGAACTCACGCTGCCATGATCAAGGCTAGGCCTGAGTTGTGCAAAACGCCCGAGTACTTTACCAAGATGTCTGGGAGGGAATGGGGTTTAGATGATGACATATCCATTCTGGAACCCCCATTTAGATTTTCACGCCTGAAGCTAGAGTATGAAGTGCCTTCGGGGGCACGAGGGAGATCAAAGCCGCAATGGAGCGGTGGAGGCGAACTTGGCACAGGCAATATGCAGAGTGTTCATGGTAGATGATGGCCGATTCGAGGCTGAATTGAGAAGCCACTGTTTCACACAGGCACGTGCACAAGTACCGGAGGAGACAACGTTTATGCGGTTACTATAAAATCATGTCGATTCTCTGAGGCATCTACACACAAACTGTCCAACTACAAACTGACGGCTGAATCGATATTGACTTTGAGGTGCTCAGCAGTACACAACAGCTGACCGTCCTCCTTGCGGCGAATGCTGCCCCTCAGAGTAGCGAGCCTTTTCCCAACCTGTACAATCTCAGTCTCGATGAGAACTTGATCGCCTGCTCGGGCGGGACGTAGGTACGAGACGGTGAGACAGCGGCTCACCCCGAGGTACTGCCAAAAGCCGGGCCGGCTGACGAGAGAAAGGGGGACGCTGGTACAAAAGTCCAGGAGAGTGGCGGTGGCGCCGCCATGCAGGTGATGTAGACGGTTGCAATGTTGAGGTTGGACCGTGTATGTGAAGGTGATGGAAGCCGTGTTGGCGCTGGCCGTGGCTGAGTGAACGTCCAAGAAGGGCATGACGGAAACCATCCAGTCCTGTTGGAGAGCATACATGTAAGCCCGACTGCTCGCTTTTTCCTGCTAAAGGATGAGGAATGACAGGGAATGGCAAAATACGTACTCCCTCTTTCAGGGGACCATGGCCGTTCTTGGTGAGTTGGAGCCAATCGCGGATCTTGTCGCCCACGGCGTCGTTGAGAGTGGCATCGGAGCCTTGGTTGGCCATGTTGGGATGCTGATTTGTAGTTTGTGGCATCACAATTGGAAACACAAAGGTAAAAACACGGACAACGACTTTGGGTTCTGTGGATCACATCAGTTATTTGATGTACAGCGCCGCTTCGGCAGGGAAACCATGCGAGAATCTCCAAAGGGTTTCCATGCGGGGTCGAGCTGGAACAATGCTATTATTGTCTGATGCCCGAAACGTGTCAAGCAATGCACCGGACGCGCATGCATTTTCGGTGTAGATGTGCATGGACTGACTTGGTGCGAAAACGCCATGATGCAGCGTGATGCATCTGCATGTGCATGTGCATGTACGTGACTACCATGGTCGTACTAGAAAAGCAATTATGTATGCACAGGACAGCTGTGCAGTGTCCAGGTTCACGATATTAGCGGTCAAGTATTTGTTTCGTGATATCAGCGGTGAAGCATTTGCTGAGCCTTGATTCTCGTCGCGCTGCACACGTCCGAGACAGTCCAGACGTCTCTTTAGCTGACAGGTATTGCTGCCGAGGCACACTCTGCACCATGATGCGTCTGGTTCTTGTTGAACTTGCCTTGTCCCCGACAAGAGGATGTGATTGCCAAGTTTCGTGGCCGAAATCCTTGGTTGGCTCTTGCGGTATGCCAAAGAGGTAAAATAGAGAACCGGCCTCTACAGTGTGAACGAGCAAGGGCGCCGTCACATCGAGTAACATGGATCTTTTCATCGCAAATTACTTGCACATAGTGCTGGCCGTTTCCAGTGTATACCTGCTTCATCGTCTCAGTCGCATCGTCAAACGAGTCACTCGCTCCTCGATATCGCGCGTCCCCGGGCCCTGGTACTCGAAGTGGACGAGAGTGGTCATCGACTACCACTTCCTCCGTGGTACACGCAGCTTATACATCCACGATTTACATGCCCAATATGGTTTGTATCTACCGGCACCGGATTCCACGATGCTTACCCCCCAACCCAAACCTTGCCATTGACTGACCTGCCATTGACTGACCGCGGCCATCATCTCTTCCCAGGACCCATTGTGCGAATCGCGCCAGACGAAGTCAACGTTACCGATATTGACGCCGTAAAAACAATTTACAGTGTCAAAGACACTTTCCTCAAGTCGGGATTCTATCGCCGCATCGTCCCACCCGAGTCTATATTCAGCACCGCCAATGTTGACTTTCACCGGCGTCACCGCAGGCTTCTCGCGGGGCCACTGACGGAGACATCTCTCAAAAAGACGATTCCTGCCATCCGCACCATCTCGGATCTGGTGGTGCAGCGCATGGGAGAGGAGATGAAGGTGCGCGGCGCGGCCGACGTGTTCAAATGGGCCACGTTTATGGCAACGGATACTATTGCACAACTTACTTTTGGCGACTCGTTCCACATGGTCGAGCTTGGTCGGGTTTGTTTTTTATGTCCCTTTTGGCCCTGTTCACTATACTCATGGATCAATGGCATAGAAAACTGAATACGCCCTCGAACTCCAGAATGTGAGCAGCGTGGCTGCTCTGCGTTCTACTTTCCCGGGCCTGACCCGTCTCGCCTTCAAATTACCTTTCCAGCTGCCCATTTTCCAACGGGCGGTCAAGGGGTCGAGCAATATCAAACGGTATTGCACAGAGTCACTAGATCGCTACCGGCAGCTCCTCGACGCAGATCCGGGCATGGCCCACAAGACTCTGTTGGCCAAAGCCTTTGAAGCAGAGCAAGAGGACAACTTGCCCTTCCACGAGGTGATCGCCGATGCCCAGACTTATATCGTTGCCGGAAGCGGCTCGACAGCCAATACGCTTGCCTTTCTCATCTGGGCCGTCTGCCGCAACCCGTACATCCGGGACCGGGTAGTCAAGGAGTTGGCATCTCTTCCGCCAGATTACCAAGAATCACATCTGCGAGAACTACCCTACCTTGGCCAAGTCGCCGAGGAGACGCTCCGGCTCTACGGCGGCGCGCAGGCAGGTCTTCCACGGACTGTGCCGCCCGGAGGAGCTGAGCTAGCGGGATTCTGGCTCGATCAGGGTACAGTCGTTAGTACGCAGGCGTATAGCTTGCACCGTGATGCCATCATTTTCCCCGACCCATTCGTCTTTGACCCCTCGCGTTGGGAAAACCCCACTCAGGCTATGAAGGACGCCTTCATGCCTTTTGGTCGAGGCTCTCGAAGTAGGCGCCATCTATATACCCGTCTCCATGCTTGATTCTTCTAACACGACGCCTTTTGCAGGTTGCATTGGGTTGCACCTCGCACAGATTGAGATCCGGCTCGCTGCCGCGCGATTCTTCCTGACGTTTCCCGAGGCTAAGCCCTCATCGCTAGAAGGCATGTCAGACCGTGACATGGTGCCTGCGATATATTTCACCACGGTACCTGCCGGCAACCGCTGCCTGATTCAAGCGGCTTAGAGCATACGAGACATGTTGGGCAACTACAACAATCCATGCTTCGAGAGCAATGCAGGGCAAGCGAGCATGTGATAAGAACATGTCTACTGAACTAGCATCAATTATTACAAATAGTTTCTGCGTGTTGTTTGAATCATGATATTGCATACTACCGAATGGCTCCTATTATCTTGTGATTATCTTGTGACTTTGCCCAATGGGCTTGCATAAATAGCACATATAAAGCAAACGTAAAATTAAAAGGCGTTTTTACGTTGCATGGGAAGCAATACCAGTACATCACTTGGTTGCTACAATAAAGCTAGACCCTCCTGCTTCATCGGCTATTGCCATTCGAATAGCTCATGATACGAAGAATAGTAATGTAAACGCAATTGGTCTTCGACTTCAACTCCATCGGTTCCGTCATGAGTCTGCTTTCATAGCTTTGCAATCATGTTTGAACCCGCCTGAATATTCTTGATAGCATCATTGACAAACTCAATGACCACTTCCTGGGCAGGCTTGATCTCATTGACGACAGCAGCACACTTGCCCATCAAGAAAGGATGAAACTGGGCCAACGGGTTTTCATCTCCATCGGAGTCATTTCCCTTGCCATCACCTCTCACGAGCTTATCATAGTCGAAATTATATGGTATTATCCCTTTACCTGTGAGGTCTCTCATCTCCCGTTGGCGATTGGTCTCCCAATCCTCGATATAACTGTTGGTACGCACGCGCATAGGCCGGCCAGTAAAGACGACGGTGCGAATGGTGTCATCGTACCCGGCACTGAGTACCGCCTCTTTGTGAGCAGTTGGGGCGCCAGACTCGTTTGTCAAGATAAATCGGGTTCCCACCCATACAGCGCTCGCGCCCATCATAAGAGCGGCCGCAAGTAACTGGCCATTATAGATACCGCCAGCGGCAATAACTTGAATAGGGCCCCCAGTCAGTGGCGCCCGGTGATTTATAACCTCTCTGGCAACGGCAGGAATAAGAATAGTTGTTGGCGTATCGCCAGTATGTCCGCCGCCCTCGCCGCCCTGGGCGCAAATTATATCAACGCCGACAGCGAGGCACTTTTTGAGATGCTTTACATGGCCAATGACATTCATGTATGCAATACCATTGGCATGAAGTCTATCCACGATGGCCTTGGGCGGGACCCCGATGGCTGAGACGAAGAGGCGGGCACCCGATTCAATGACAACGTCTATGAGCTCGTCGAGTTTTCCCTTTGTGTAGTCATGGTTGGTCTTTCGTGCACCACCACCCACTTGAGCCAAGAGTAAGTCAATGCCAAACGCAGCATTCTTGTCCTCCAAGTGCTCTTTGAGCTCGGCAATCTGCTCACGGAGCATGTCAGGACTGTAGCCGACGCCGCCAATCACACCGAGGCCTCCGGCATTTGTTACAGCAGCAGCCAGCCTAGGACCGGCGGCAGCGTTCATACCAGCCAACAGGATTGGATGTTTGATGTTGAACATGTCTGTGATTGGTGTGCGGATACATTGCGAGGTTGCCATCTTGACATTGACAGACTTGATGGCACGGTAAAGAAGGGGGGATACTAATCCGGGCTTGCAAACAAATAGAACAAGGCAAATTACACAGTCATATGAGCTGTTTGCGATATCTGAACTTCTGACTAGCCACACCAAGCTCGTTTCCGAAGAGAATACCATCTACTGACCAGCTCCCAGTTCGGCCTTGAGGCGGTCTGGCTCGGGAGCATGGGCGCACAGGGATACACGCGGCTTCGACGAAGCCCATCTGGAATAGGCGATCTACGTATTGACTGCATGAGTCCATACTCTGCCGACGATGGCGCAGATCAGCTGTGGCGACATACGCACCAACTCTGCATTCCATGGCTCGTGTACAGCTGGCTGCACCCTGAGCAATGCGTCTGCGCCGTCCGTATTTTCTGTCCATTGTGACTCAACGGCTGAAGAGTGAACAAAGGATGCGGTCAGTCCTATCCTTCCAAGGTGTGGGCGTAGTACTGCATGCCTTCATCCAGGCTGCAGCTGAAATACAACGACGCGGCACACTTCATCCAAGTATGAGACATGCATATTGTACCGCATCCCTATCGACAAGGAGATACTCCGTATTTTGCTCGCAGTAGGAGCACAGCTTATTGGCCCGTGCTTGATACTATCTCAACGTATCACGCTCCTTGCGGTCACATCGTCAAGCTTCAGAGTCGGTAGCATGATGGCATGTCTCCCGACGTTGCATTGGGCGGTTTTTTTTCCTCTTCTTCTCTCAGGCGTCTTCAGGTGGGCTGCTGAAGAAGCCCGCATAGGGGTCGGCTAGCATACGTGGCAAAAACTGCACCACGGCACGGCTGGCTCACCTCTCACCGTATCTTTATCACGGCGTGGACAATGTTGTGTATAACCCATGGCGTATCATCTGTCCTACTGAACACCCCATGCCTTTGATGCGGAATGTGCCTTTTCATGCCTAGCGAAAAGATCCGGCGTGCGCCATCGGCGAATGCTAGTCAAGATAGCACGGTACTGCAATACAAAGTCAAATAATAAGCAGTAGCAAGCACTGGCTCCAACGATTCAAGTTGCATGCCAGACCCATATTCTACCTTTCCCATTCTCAAGTGAATTTCTTCGACGTCGTTCCAATGGCGAGTGAGCGAACCGCCATGGCGGATCTTTTTGAAAGCATTACATCAAGTCAAGACGTTTACACTGTCGAGCTCGGTGTTCATTTTGCATTGCAGATACTCTTCTGGTGGCTGCCTGGCATCACTTTGGTGTCATTGAACTACTTGGCGCCGTCTTTTTCAACCAGGTACAAGATTCAGCCAGCAGAGAAACAGCCCACGCTTCTGGATATCGGGCGATGTGTCGCCGTCTCCATCTGCAATCAAGCCATCGAGTTGCTCCTTCATTTTTGTTTGCTCAACTATTACACATCTCGCGGCCGTGAGGCCACAGTACGGATGACGGGCGATTTACCTAGCCTTGCCGAGTTTACACGCGATTTTGTGCTGAGTTTCATCGCGCGCGAGGCGATACATTATTACCTGCACCGCCTGCTGCACTGGCGGCCGTTGTATAAACGCCTACACAAGATACATCACAACTTCACGGCGCCTATGGCTTTTGCATCGCAGTACGCCCATCCCGTCGAACACATCTTGCTCAATGTGTTGCCGATTACTCTGCCGCTGGTGGTGTTGCGCTCCCATGTGCTGGTCTTGGTCGTCATGGTGGGTTGGGACCTCCTTGCCACTTCGGTGGCACATAGTGGTTATGATTTCTTCCTGGGGCTGGCCAAGATGCATGACCGTCATCATGAGAGGTTTCACGTCTACTTTGGTTCTTCGGGGGGGTTTGGAATCATGGACTGGGCTCACAGGACAAACGAGGAGTCAGTTGTCCAAAAAAAGGTCGACTAGACATTGGTACCAACAAAAGGTTCATTTTGTATGCAAAATAAAGAGTCACCTACACCAGTCGCAGTTTGAAAAGGGGACAGCAAAGCACCTAAATAAAACCACGAAAAACCCCAAATGCAAAACTGCCATGTGTAATCTCAATCTCCATCTTTGCTACCGAGTGTCTACGCGACAAGAAATGGTGGCAATACCCTAGAGTTAATTTTTGATCTGGTAACAAGTCCAAGTCGTTAGTCGTCTACTAGATTCCTCTTGTACTACAAGACACAATACCAGGGCAAAAGCAGCTTGAACAACTGTGGCGCATACACCCATGTCCAGACGTTGTATCCTGTTGATCAATGCATTTATTTAAATTGTCTAGTTACATATGTATGCTCAATTTAACGCCACAACAGACGGTGTTCCTCTCCGTTCCGCCAAATCTCCACTGATGCCCAAAACGACTTGCCGGACCAATTGGAACTGTGCAAGGGTCAATACTTGCCGCATCAAAGACAAAGACACACAGTTGGGTGCTTGTGCCGGGCATGGCGGCAAGTCGGTGAGCGACATGCAGTACTACACTGCCAAGTGCACACAAGGACACCCAAGATACGTGTCATTGGCAAGGCACCGTTGCCAGCTAGTTCGTGTGCGTACTTGTACGCGTTGCCTGTTTATTATGAGCTTCTACAAGTTTCAAGGGTACACTCAGAAGAGGGTGTTTCCATTTAACTTCACACCAGCCATCCTCCTGCTGCTGTGCGCTGATCAGTTCCATACCTCCCTCCATACCAGATTATTTCTCAGAGCGCTTTGGACAAAACGATTGCCTCCTTGACCGACAAGGTTGACGTGATAATGCGGATACATGTAGATGTTAACAACACGTTGCAAGGTCACAAATTGCTTTTGCTATGCCCTTGGCGGGTCCTGCCTGAGCATCTTGACCACCTTCACAAGCGATTTCCCGATCTTGCCATAGAATCTCGCCGGCAGTCGTGGAATAGTGTGCTTGACTGTGACGACAATCCAGAGCAGCTATGGAAGGATGTGACAATCCTGGTCACATGCAGCGCACTGCCCAGTGCCGAACAAGCCCCCAGGTTGGAATATGTTCAACTCTTGACGGCGGGCGCGGACCCGGTATTGAGAAAGCCCATTTTTAAACAAAAGACAATCACCTTTTGTACTGCAAACGGAGTACACGGGTAAGCTGCTTCGAGCCTCTGGGGGCAATGGGAAGCAAAATGACTTACATGTGCAGACCTCAGCTTTCAGAGTGGGTGGTTGCTTCATATCTCGCCCTGCAACACAGATGTGAGTAGTTACAACAACTATAGCAAAACACGGTGGAAATAAAAGCTGACGTTGTTCTTGCTCTTTTTTTTCTAGTTCCAACCTACTGGAAGCAGCAGAGCCAAGGAAGATGGGCTAAACTCGAGGACGTGCCGGATGACTCTGTCGGCAGGCGAATGTAAGTCGCTCCCACAGATAATTACCTGGGTAATACAACAATACTTAGTCGGCCTTTCAAATCTAGTGGAATCTTGGGGTATGGTAGTATTGGGCGACAGACAGGCCGCGTTGCCAAAGCACTAGGAATGGATGTGCATGCTTACACTCTCCATCCACGCCCGACCCCCGAGTCACGTCGCGATAAGGGCTATACGCCTGTTGGGCTTGGAGATCCAGACGGCACCCTGCCAAGTAAATGGTTTTCTGGAAGCTCGACTCAAGAGTTGCACAACTTCCTCGGCTCGGGCCTCGATCTCTTAGTTATAGCTACTCCTCTAACTGAAGCTACGAGGGGGCTCATAGCCGAGGCCGAGTTCGAAATCTTGGCCAAGAACAAGACGTTTGTTTCAAATATAGCTCGCGGTCCTGTTGTTAACGCTGATGTTCTGATTCGATCATTGAACAATAATTCAATTAGGGGCGCGGCACTGGACGTGACAGATCCCGAACCACTCCCAGATGGCCATCCACTTTGGACAGCCAAGAATGTAATCATCACACCGCATGTAAGTGGCAGATCGACAGGATACGGTACAAGGATAATGGAACTCCTGGAAATGAATCTAGAGAGACTAAGCAAAGGACGGCCCCTCGAAAATGTAGTGAGCAGAAAAACTGGCTACTAGTCAAGAAACTCGGGATTGACGACTTCAAGAAATGCGTCGCCTCCTGCAACTGTGCGTCTGCGGTGATGGTATGACCTTCGAAGTTCTGGGATGCCGCTTGCTGCTACAAATTCAGAATTACCTTTTGGCACATGCTTCTCATAGATTTTGTTGGAGACACAGAAAACATCCAATGTCTGGTCCGGAATTTTAGATGCGTATGCGCTCTGCAGCCCTCGTTTCACGTGCTGATTGCGAGCCTCAATGAATAGAAGTCTGTGCCTGCAACACCAGGGTGTGGTTAGAAAAAGTCGAATCGTAGAGGCTGGGATAAAATCGCCATACTTTAGCTTTAGGCGCTTCTTCTGCGCAGAGTCGCCAGTCCGCCTTGCAGCCTCGAGCTCACTCTCAAGCTTGTCGCATTCGTCGAGGTCAACGGAATTACCAGGGCCACAGAATTCCTGCTTGGCGTTCTCAATGTCTATATCCTACATAATAGTAGTCAGATCCATATCTATTTTATATTAGGAATTAATACACAGGTATAATACTTTTATTATTTAGGTATAATTATTATTTAAGTATAAATTTTATTACTTTTAATTAATTATAAGTTTTTATATAAATTTTTTTTAAATTTTATTATTTTTATTATAAATATTTTAAGTT